CTATCAAATTATGTTTGGTTGTAAGGTAACATGGGTTAATATTTAAACTAAATTTTAATGGGGGTATACTTAAGTCAATGTGTCATTTCATCTTTCACAATAAGGTTATTATAGCTGTGCTTGTCATCTTGGGGGTTTTGAGTGCTGAAGATAAAGGATAGTGGTTAGTTAATTTCCATCTCTGATGTCTTTCTTTACTCATCACAGGAAGTAAGCTAAGTAATTTGTTACAATGAGAAATGAAATGATGACTCAGTGGTTTTCCTGTTCATGTACTTTGTTGCCATGGTCCAAAGACTTCATTCTTTTCATTAGCTTTCTATTTCTGGAGTACAGGTAAATGGGAAGAATGTACTTGGGTGTGGTCTTATGTGAATAGCTTTAAAATATCCAATTCTCATGAGTGCAGGGTATTCAAATTACATTACCTCATCTACTTTAGGTCTTTTTTTTCCTTCTACATTAGAGAGTTAATTCCCAGCACTCAACATAAGTGATAAGATCAACTGTGTGAAAATATAACTGACTTTAGTGTTTGACTGACGATAACATTTCTTTCTCCATTTTTTTTTTTTTTTTTTTTCTCTTTTTTGGATGTAGAATTTCCAACATGAGGTAGGGTCGGGTTACTTTGACATTGTACCTCAAACTAATCACTCTTGACATCCTAAAAGGTTTAAAATTTGGAAATCTCTTTGGGTATTTTAGTCTTCAGTCTGTTCCTTTATTTATTATTTATCACGTTAAATATAGAAACAAAAAACACATTTTAGTATACCACACCATACAAAGGGAGCTCTGGTGGCATAGTGCCTAAGGCATTTGACTGCTAACAAGAAGGCTGGAGGTTCAAACCCACCAGCCACTGCTCAGAAGTAAGATTGGGCAATCTACTCTCATAAAGATACTGCCTCAGAAGCCCAAGAAGAGGTCACTATGAGTGGAACTGACTCGACTGTAGTGAGTTAATTAGCTAGTACACCTTACAAACATGTTCCCTTCCACACTGGATTTTTTTGTCTTCTGCCTGGATTACTTACATAGCCTCTTCAATTATCTTGTACTCCAGTTCCATTTTCCTGTAATCATTATTTACATCAAGTTGATTTTTTGAAAACTCAAAATTGCTTGTCACTCCCTGCTTAAAATTTGTCAGTAACTCTCCATCTGATGGCTAATGTCCAAGTATTTAATGTAACAAATAAACATCTCCATATTCTTGCTTCTATCTCTCTCTTGTTCTAACATAACAAACTTCTCTACATAAATTACACAAATGCATTCTCCTCTGTTAAGTATGTTTTTTTCTATACCTGTAGGCATTTGACTGCTAAACAGAAGGCTAGCAGTTCAAACCCACCAGCTACTCCTCGGAAGGAAGAGTGGGCAATTAACTTCCATAGAGATAGTGCCTTGGAAACCAAAGGAGGGGTCACTATGAGTCGGAACCGACTCAATGGTGACTTGATGGCAGTGAGTTTGTATTTTTTTTATGGTGCTTATCAATTACATTATTATAAGATGCCAGATTTTGCATCTTTACCTTCTTTTAATTACTAAGAGCTACTAAATGAGACAATCTATGTAAAACATTTAGCAAGTACTTGGTATGCAATATACATATATTGTTAGTAATTGTTTTTACTACTACTAGATTCTAAGCAACTTTGTTTTTGTTGTTGTTGTTATGTGCCATCGAGTTAGACTCAACCATAGCGACCCCTCCTTGGGTTTCCAAGGTGGTATCACTATGGAAGTAGATTTCCCAACCTTTCTTCCAAGGAGTGGCTGTTGGGTTTGAACCACCAGCCTTCTGGTTAGCAGTCATGCCTTTGGTACTACACTACCAGAGCTCCCAAGCAACTTTAGGGTAAGAGTTATATTTTTTCACCTTTGAAGCTTCAGGGTTTTGCACTGCATAATCAACTCAATAAATGTTTTAGAACTGAAATACAAGTGATGTCCATTTTGGTATAGCATTTCATATGGCCCACATATTTACCACATTACGAAGCCAAGTTATGACTTCTTTCCCACAGTGTTTGTTGTGAGAGCTTATACTTAAGAGGAAGTGAGAGTTTCTTCTTCTACTTAAGAAGAAAAGAGAATATTAAATGGCCTCAGAATATTCATGCTGCCAGTTTATTATCCCTTGGAAAGTTTCATCCGTACCACTTTCCAGATTCTAAAAGCCAGGATCCATATGTCCTTCAATTAAACACCAATGAAGGAGTAGATTTGAGACACAGAATAGCTAAGAGGACTTGGAGGAAAGGTGATGATCTTCTAAGAGCTATTGACTGTGATTGGTTTGAACCGACCAAAGAATTAAGAACTAGAATGAGTTTGTGAAACTCTTAGGTGATAGTGTGAGCATCCCTGACCAACTGGCTTTAACAAAGAGATGGTTGAATATTAAGAAAAGATAATTAAAAAATTTTCTTCTTGAGATGAAACTGAAAAAAATGAAAAAAAAAGCATGGAAACTTGTAGCAGGAAAAAAGAGAACCTAATTTCTATTTGTTATAATTGAGCAAGGGGAAGGAGAAGCTCTGGATATGAGATAGCCTAGTTGAAAATGGCAAGGAATGGACTCTAGCCAACCTCTGAATTTCTGTGGGAGACAAAATGGAGGATGTGTTCAAGGGGTTGAGGGAAGAAATGTGAGGATTTCTCTTTTTGATTTCATTTTTAAATGCTTTGAATTAAGGAAACATATGATATACCTGAAACATCTTAAATTTAAAATATGCTGTCCTAAATTAAAGGACTCTTTTATTTGAACTATTAAAAGAAATAAAATTGGAAACTTGTCTTGAATTAGTGAAATACTGGTTATACTAATTCTTCTTATAGATATCTTATTATTTCTGAAGCAGAACTAGATACTTTCTCTCCCTTACCTTCCTAAGGACTTCATTGTCAGCATTCTTAGGGAACATTAACTTGTATCAGTAGCCTATTTCTACTTTTATTTTTCCATAAGATTAATAGGTACAAATAAGAAAAAGAGATAGTTGAGAAATTACAATGTAAAAAAAAAAGTGTCCGTTTTTTCAATCTCATTTAAAATATCTGATTTTAAATATAGTCCAACAAATATTCCTTAAAAACAATTTAGTCAGTGTATAATGTAATAAAACTAAAATATAATAAAAATATATTCCAAACCACACTAAAGGTAAGAATAAAGTGATCCCAGACCAGTTTGCATGAGAAAGTTGAAATACAATTGCTATAGATGTCTATCAGTGCCCTTACAGGAACCCTGTTGGCACAGTGGTTAAAGTACTAGGTTGCTAACTGGAAGATTAGCAGTTCAAACCCACCAGCTGCTCCACAGGAGAAAGAAGTAGCAATCTTCTTCCATATGGAAGTAGCAATGCTTCCATAAAGATTTGAACTTTGAAAACCCAATGAGGCAGTTCTACTCCATCCTATAGGATTTCTATGAGTTATAATCGACTCAGTGACAAACAGGTCTTTGGTTTGGTATAGAACCTCAATAATTTGAGTAGTGACAACAACTTGGTTGCTAAACAAAAGGTTGGCAGTTCAAGTTCAGCCAGATATGTCTCAGAAGAAAGACTTCTAAAAAATCAGTCATTGAAAATCCTACAGAGCACAGCTCAACTCTAACATACATGGGCTCCATGAGTTGGAATCTATTCAATGGAAACTTGTTGGTGTAGGTGCAGTATTAGTTGATCTTGATACAGCCTGAAAGGGGAGATAGCCTTGCATCAAGATCCTGGAGAATCTTGTGGATGAACAATGGAGAAGGCCCTGGATGATGATATTAAGGGGAAATTAAAATACATTAAAAAATGAGGATTTTAGAACCTATTTCAAGTGAAGATCCAGGTAGTTATCTAACTGATTAAAACTAGGATAATGAACCTATTAGACTAAAAGAGAAAAAAAAAAAATGGTTAAAGATGACTATCAGGAGAGGAACGGATCAACAAACTATGGTACATACACACAATGGAATACCACGCAATGTTGAAGAACAATAATGAGTCTGAGAAATATCTCCTAACATGGTTGAACTAAGAAGCCGTTATGCTGAGTGAAGTCAGTCAATCACAAAAGGACAAATACTATATGAAACCACTATTGTAAAAAGTCAAGAGAAGGATTTCACAGAAAGGGAAGTGTTCTTTGATGGTTACCAGGAGTAGCGGGGAAGGGCAGGTAAGCCACTAACTAGAAGATAGACACATATTAACTCAGGTGAAGGGGAAAAATGTATAGTAATTGCTTATTTACAAGAAAAAAATAAAGATGATTGCGCAAATATCCTCGTGAAAGGTTGTATGTGAAAGAGAAATGCTTGTGTAATTATAGGAAAATCTAAGGGCAGAGTCTAGTGAACATACCGAGTTAGGATTAGGTGAGTAAGAGTTTATACATTTACATACACAATAACCACACTATTTTTTTGCAATAGAAGGTGGCAAGAACCATAATCTTACTAAACCAACTACTTTCATATTTGTAGAACCCTTTCCAACTCTTACTCTTGGGGAAGGGTACATACTGAGATGTATTAATTATTGTATATGGTGAGGAGCAGTTTTAACTGGAAGCTAGGAACATGCCTAGGGCCAAGAAAGAAATGGACTTTGTTTTTCTGGTAATCAAAGAGTCTGGAAGAAATAGGTCAGCTTTGGAATGGGGAGGAGTACGTGTCAAGAATGTTTACTTAAAATTTTAATGACAGGACAAGACCACCCAGAATGAAATAATGGAGGCTTGAAACCAATGTCATATGGCTTTAAACTAAATCCATCTAATTGAATGGTGCATACCTGTGTACCTGGGCTTATCTTGCCATATGTAGTTTGTATATGGAATTCTGCATTGTGGGGAAATGATTACTTTCCAGAGTCCCACATATGTGTCAGAAGCTCTGGTGCCATAGTGCCTAAGGCATTTGACTGCTAACCAGAAGGCTGGTGATTCAAACCCACCAGTCACTTCTCAGAAGGAAGGTTGGGCAATCTACTTCCATAGAGATACTGCCTTGGAAACCCAAGGAGGCATCTCTATGAGTCGGATCCGACTTCATGGCAGTGTGGGATACACTGTGATGGAAGGGGAAACACAAGGGAAGTAAAAGAGGAGAGGTGTGTGTTTATCTCAGGGGATATCCCAAAGTAGCCCAAGGTAAGTACAAAAAATTTGCATTTTAATTTTGTACTTAAATATTGATCACAAAGGCTCTAAGTGTTTCACTAAACACATATATTTTATTAATTAATAAATCAAGCAAGTAATTCAATAAATATTTATGAGTTCTGACTATGTACCAGCACTCTTCCATGCACCGGAGAAACAGGATGGAATGCAACATGTTCCTTTTCTCCCAGAGCTGAGAGTGGAGAAGGAATACAATTACACTGCTATGTAAGCAGGTCTGTAAATGCATAATTATAACGTAGTGTGGTCAGATTTGCAAAGTGTTCAAGGTCACACTGATAGCTAGTGGACAATGTTACTATTGTTAGTCACTGTCAGGACTATGCCAACTCATGGTGACCCCATATGTGCAGAGTAGAATTGCTCTACAAGGTTTTCAAGGCTGTGATTGTTCAGAAGAAGATACCCAGGCCTATCTCCTGAGAAGCCTCTGGGTGAGGTTGAACTGGGAAGGTTTTGGCTAGCAATTGAGCATTTAACCGTTTGTGCCGCTCAAGGACGTAGTGGTACGATAAAGGCTAGAATTCTCCCTTCTTGATTGTGAGCCCACCGTTAATTCTGCTCCAACAATACTGCATGCCACCTAAAAGTAAATATGATCAAACAGAAAAGTATAATTTTGAATGAAGATTTTTAAGATGATTATTTGAAAATTGACAAACCTGGACGCAGCTGGATCGACACTTCTCCTGGTGTCACCTGGGTATTAATTTCATTTCCACTTGGTATTACATGCACAGATGGGCATTCTATTGAATCAACCGAGCAGCCTTTGCTTATTAAATTGGAAACAATATCACAACGTTCACTCCTTGATCCACCTGAAATGAAAACCTGTTTAAAAGAAGCAAAGTCATGGACTTTCTTAGTGTATATCATCTCAATTGTAACCAAAGAAAACCAGATTACAAATATTACAAAGAAGCCATCTTCCAAGCGCAAGCACACCAATTATGGAATTGTGCAAAACAGCTGCAAGTTTCCCCTAAGAGTACTGGCAAATCTGCTTTAAATAAAACTTTAATTTCTAAATCTTATTTTAAAAAGGGAAAATTTGAATTATTAAAAAGGATATTTAAATCAACCATTTTCAATGCTGTTAACTGATCACTGTAAAATTATACCAACTTAATTCTTTCTAAATATTTTACTTTGGAAAGATTGCTCCAAAAGGAAATTTAGTCAAAATAGACCTTTCAAAGGTTCCAAATGTGAGCCTTAGTTCTCAAAGAACCCAACTGGTATGTATGTTTATTATAGACTGTTACGTTTGGAATATGAGTGTGAGTCCTTGGAAGTCACATGTCTAATTAAGTACTGAAAAATTCACAAGGTAATGAACTGTAAATCTACATTTCTTAGACCAAAAAATCCTCCAACTTCTTATATTAAAAAAAAAAAAAAAAAAGCCTGTAAATAATTAAATAATCCAAATAAGATGTTGGTAATAAGCATGGAAAAATAAGATTGCAGCTCAAATTCTCCTCAATTTGCAACTGAATTTAAAAATTTTACTATCATTCCACATTGATTAGTTGGTGGTTATCCAATACCCATCCGATAAGTCTGGAATTAACAAAGCAAGCTTAAAATTTAATTTCTCATGGCTGGGGAAAAAATTGGTATTTTAATATTCTGTGGTACCATTCAGACTGTTTCCAAGCAAGGGAAATATAGTAAAAATTTTGACTTATGTTTTATTATATATAATGGTGTGCCCTGACTGATTCGGGATATTTGTTTGCATGTGTTAAATATTTGCTCATGAAACATCCTGGCGGGGGTTATTTTGGTCTGGCATTCATGTATTCCTCCTTTAGTTCAGCCGATTCAGAGTTAGATTTCTAATAAATTCATCATTCAGTCAAAAAATGTCAATTAAATACTTACTCTGGGCCAATAATTTGTTAGGTGCTCAGGAAACAGAAAATGGCAAGAAAGATATATCCCTGTCATCAAAGAGCCAACAGACTATCATGGATTCATTAATTGAACAAACAAATGTAATTATGACAGGAAGTAAACTTAGGGGAAGTTGAATATCACAGGGCTATGGAGAAAAGGGATTATCATGCTTAAAAGGACATGAGAGCAGAATAGGAGGTCAGTAATTATGAACGGGGAAATCTTGGGATTGGTGAGTAATTGGATAGAATGGTGGTAAACAATGCAATAACATTCATACAAGGATTTTATTTTAATTCCTCTCTCAATTTATAGCAAGGGTTGGTAAACTAGGAACAATGAGACAAGTGCAGGTTGTGGCCTGCTTTTGTATGGCTTTTGAGCTAAGAATGGTTTTTACATTTTTGAAGGGCTGTTAAAAAAAAAAAATAGAAGAATATGTTACAGTGACAGTATGTGGCCCACAAATACTACATTTTTACTCTGGGGTTCTTTACAGAAAAAAGTGTGTTGACCTATATGATTTGGAACACACTTATGTAACTATCATCAAGGGGCAAAACAAAATGTGACCTTCTTTCCAATCAATATTTCCAGGTGTCATTTGGTGAATGACTTCTTGGAAATGGAAAAATTCAAATTTGCTTTGCTCTTGACCGTGCATCTAGAATTCAGCCTAAACTTTAACAGATTGAAAGTTTTAATTTCTTGTATCTAATGTCCCCACAAAATGTGAGATTTAGTGTATAAACTTGGAGTTCCTAAGAGAAAGAAGGTATATTAGCCAGTGAAGTATGTGTCTCAGTCCTCCTGAGAACTTCAGGCTAGGTGTAGGAATCATACCTCTCTTTGAGCCTGGGGGAATATTGGGGGCGCTTAAGGCTTGATGAGTTCTTGGGCGGTGCAAAGTATAGCACAATGGGCTGCTAACTCTAAGAAAGGCCTGGAGATCTACTTCTGAAAAATTAACTATTGAAAACACAGTGGAGCACAGGTCTACTTTCATCCACATAGGATCACCATGAGTTGGAAGCAACTCATGGCAACTGGTCATTGGTAAGGTTTGATACCTATTTGTCCATTTATGTCTCAAAGGACAAGCCAAAGATGTGAAAATTCAATATATTAAAGGATGGTACGGAAATAAAGTATAAATAGCTCTGAATTTTCTTTTCCACCCATAGACTGTGTTATTTGTGTATTCAGAATGAAGTAGAAGCAGTTAATTCACTGAAAGTATACATTAATCTATGTCATTTGACCTTTAAATGTCAAATAGTTTTACTGAAAGAAGCAACGTAGTTATTTTGCAATGTCTGAATCAGCATGGCTCTTTTTACCCCACTCTAAAAACTAAGTTAGAAAAATATTGCCAATTTGACAATTAGGTTTGAAAATGGAATAAAAAACTGTGGAATCAAAATAAGGAATGGAATGCTGCCCCTGCCCACTGTGGCCTACTTTCTACTTTGTATAAAAGAAAAGCAATTTGAAACCACACCCTTTTAATTTTTGGTATTTGGTGTCATTTTAATTTCTTCTAATTCTTAAGTTTTATTTTCCTATAGGAAACACACAAGCAAAATCCTACTCCAACTTTCTGCATGGAAAACCTATTTGAGAATGAAAAGTCCAGGTTGAAGTTACTCCTGTTGGCTTTTCACCAATTGTTACTTTATCCATTTAATATAATAATCTTGGGATATAAATTTTTTTTTCTCCTCCTCATTTCTGAGTCTTCCCAGCTTCTAAATTTGGCAACTTATACAGAAATAAAATAATTCTATCGTCTTCCCTGTTATGGATTGAATTGTAATCCCCAAAACATATGCTGGAATTCTAACTCCTGTACCTGTGGGATGAAATCCCAATTGAGAATTGGGTTTTCTTGTTAGGCTAAGGAGGTCCTATGTGTGTAGGGTGTGTCCTAAACCTAATAGCTACTGAAATATAAAAAGATCAGATTGGACACAGAGAGAAACAAGCTGATATGGGAGAAAGATAGATGCCATGCAGACATCTCCAAGGAAACGAGAACACTAGAGAAGTGCAGACAAGGATTCTCCCCCAGAGTGAACAAAGAGAGCCTTCCCTGGAGCTGGTGTCAAATTCAGATTTATAGCCTCCTAAAAGTGTGAGAAAATAAATTTTTGTTCATTGCAGCCACCATTTGCGGTAGTTTTTTTTTTTTTTTTTTTTATCAATAGCAGCACTAGCAAACCAAACACTCCCTTTTAACAATGAATGCTCTTCACATTATATTTTAATATAACTATGCTCCAAGACTGTCATCTAAACTTCTGGCTACATAATCACACCCTGAACCAGATGTATCAGGCAGGGTAGGAAGAGAATTCTTTAGAACTTGTCATTTCTTTCACGTATGTTAGAAAAGAGAGTGAAGAGTTAACTAGGCAGTATCACTAAGGTTTTTTTTTGTTCTAATGGTTTTCCGATTACTTTTATGTAGTATGGTGGGAGAGAGAAGATAAAGTATATAAAACAGCAGATTAGCATTTTACACAAGAATGTAAGCAAATTTAATATAATCTGCCTAAATTTTCTTGTGGTCTTTTACTTTTGAACCAGTTTTGAAAAGTACACATGCCAGGCTTATTTTGTTACTGTTTATCTGTTCTAATGAAGAGCAGAGGAAAACTACCCCTTCCTTGCTTGCTCTTCCACCCTGCCTGGTAGAGAAATAAGGCATCCTTTGTATCTGTGCCTAAATGGTGGGTGATTTTCAAAATTAACCATTACATTTTTCCTTTTGATGATGTAAAGTCAGCCAGTGGGAATGGACAGCTCCTTCTGTTAATGATGAGGACGCTGTTGTCTGAATATTCACCCTGGGATTGGATTCTTAACACAATCTCCTTAGTTCCCTAATCTGAATAAATTGTTTCAGATTCTCACTAAAGTCCTGCACAGTCACACTCCTATCTCTTAATCACTGCCTATGTGCCAAAAATCTCCCTATGGATTATTTCCTTTGATCTTCACAAAATTCTGAAGTAAGTCCAATTATTATTTCCATTTTCAAGATGGGAAAAATAAGGCTTATAGTTGTTAATGTATCTAACTATATAGCTAGAAACTGTTGAAACTGGGATTTGAACCCAGATTGGTCTCACTTCAGAACCTATTTTCTCAACACCTATATAAGACTATATTGCAGTACATAGAAGAGCATTTTGAGATGTGAACAGCCAAGTAAATTTCCAATTGTTTTCCCTGGGGTCCCATCTGAAGGATCTGACCAACAGTGGACACAAGCTCACATTCTCTGTCTGGCAGCTGCCCCTTTTCCCCTCAGCTTACTCATTCCATCTGACCACTTTTCCTGTGAATACTCAAAACCAGCCTCCCGTGGCAGGATGAATACTGCTAGTTTCAGAGCTCTGAGTTCAGATTTTTTATGGCAGTTACAGGGACAAATGGAAAAGAGGTTCCTTATCTCCAGAATCTGACTTTCTATACAGCTGGCGCATGACATGTGGCTGACGACTGGGTTCCTGAACCCTCTTTTGAAAGTTGCTCCACAGTATCCTCACTAAAGTATTTAGCAATTGGCATAAACTAGGATTCTAGGGATCTCCCTTAATGATATAGTACAAATCCAAAATGGAGGACTGGTTTGGGATAAGGAAACAAGCCATGAAGAATTCTTGACAAAGAAAAACATGTAAATAAACTCCAAACTCAAATTTTCATAGATGAGAAAAGGGAGGCTCAGACTGTAAGTGAATTCAGTCTGGTCATTTGGCTCAGAGAGGGTGATGGGACTGAATCAAGATACTCGGAAACTGTCCTCACTATGACAGCACCTGACTCCATGCACTCTGGCAAGGCACCACCTACTTCCTGAGTGACATTGGGTTTTCCCGCTGATGGAGTCCAGAGCACACCCAGGAAGGCTTCATGCAGGTCTCAGTGAGAGGGAGGTTGACTTCCAGACTTGTACTTCTCTTGAGCTCCTTCCCTGCCTCTATCCTGACTTGATTTATTAAAGAAAGTGATGGCTATCAGTCTTTGCTTCTTGTCAGCTTTCTTTCTCCTCCTGGGGCAATCAGTGACAAGAGAAGTAGGTAATATGATGGTAAGCACAGTGAGGGGAGAAGGTAGTGGAGGGCAGAGCTACAGAGCTTCCTTCACAGCAAGCAAAAGGCCTTTCAAGAGCTATTTCTGCTGATTCCCACAGCCATTTAATCATTACCTGGCAAACTTACAAAAGAAGAAGCCCCAAATCAGGAGGGTTTTTTTTAAGTCCAATTTATATATCACTCACAAACAAACAGAACAATTTTAGGGCCAAGAAAGATAGAATTCATTCTTATCTTTTACTAAGAAGTTTTTCATTGAAATATTCTTCTCTTGGTAGAATTTTAAAAATGCTAATTTTGAAGAGAATGAATGTACACAATATCTGAGGAATGAGGTCATATGTCAAAAGAAAAGCATCCCATTTCTATAAGTAATAAATGGATTAAAGTATACTGTTATGGAGCAGTCAGTCACCCATCTCCAAGTATTTAAAATAAAGCAAATGAAGTGAATCAATAACTTGCTTTTTTAGAAATAAGCAAATATGAGAGAATGATTCAACTTGGATATATAACCTAATGCCTCAAGCTGCAGCAAGAATTTCACAACAAAGCTTGCTGAACTATCAAAAGTTACTAGCTGGGTTTGCCAATTCTCTCTATAGAACAGATGGAAAGCATAAAATGGTTTGCACTTCATTTCAAAATTACCATAATTTTCCTAATAAAACAGTTACATTTTATATTCAGCCAGATGCACTGTTTCCAGCCATAAAACCAAATAAAATTTTCCTGATGTTAAGCAGTACCTTTATTCTGAAGCACCTTCAAGGCACAGCGTATGTGGGCAATGAAATCATACTAGAAAAAAGGTCAACTGTGAAGAAATGAGGGAAAAAGCCAAAGAAAAAAGGCACACCTCTTGAGCACACCATCCGCATTCTGGACCCAGCTCAAGGCACTTGGTACACGATGCTGCATTGGAGTCCGCACATCTATTGTCTTCTGTAACAGAGTATAAAATGAAGGATTACTGGTTTAGTGTCACACTGGACATGTATACATTTCCATAGTAAAACATCAAAACCATAGTAAAGCATCAAAAACACACAATTGTTTTGGGGAGCATCAACCTGTGTTCTTCCACTGATCCAACATTTCCTGGATGGTGCTTCCTAGATAGTTTCATAAGATTGGAGAAAATGAGAGTGATGAAATAAGAGTTCAGTTGGATTTTTCGTTTTGACTTGAATTCTCCTGCAATAGCAAGGGAGTCTCCAAATGTTAAAAATGTTGAAGTGTGGTTGTACTTAATATCATCTGAACCAAGTAGGTGTTTTTGGTTATGGAGTTTTTATTGTAGAAATAGTCATATACATACATCAATCTCAATAGGTAAAGGTGAGTCATGTTGAGTCATTGTGAATGAACTTTTGGAGACACATTCTCTCTCTCTCTCTCTCTTTTTAATTTTATTGAGTTTTCGGTGAGAATTTACACAGAAAGTTAGGTTCCCATTTGATAATTTCCACACAATTTTTTCAGTGCCATTATCACAATGTGCCAGCGTTCTCTTTCATTGTGTTCTGTTTGCTCCCTTTCCAGTACTCTATACTAGTTTCCCTGCCCCTTTATCTTTACATCTTTGCTTTTAAGTAACTATTGACCTTTTGGCCTTACACTAATGATTTTTAAGTACAGCACTGATCTTACAGTAATAACTTTTTATTTTGTGTGCCATTCTGCCATTTCACTGGGGGTGATCTCAGGGGATAGGCTTGGTTCTAGCTTTAAAGAGTGTTTCAGGGCAATAGAGGTAGCTGTCTTTTCTCTACTGTTCCGATTTGTTTTGGCTTTTTATTATTATTATTATTTATTTTTTTCCAAATAAGAGTTTGAGTTCTGCTCTATGCCAACTCTCCCTTTCTAGCTGGGACCATCTATTATGACCCTGGCCAGAATGGCCAGTGGTGGTAGCTGGGCACCACCTAGTTCTGGTTTCAGGGTAGATGAGGTTATGGCTCATGCAGACTTATTTTTTCTCTGAATTTTTGTTACTTTTGCATTGTTTCATTTCTAGCAAGTAGAGACGTGTAGTTGTATCTTAGATGGCCCCTCACAAGCTTTTAAGACCCCAGATGCCACTCATTTCACTAAGATGTAGATCATGGTTCTTGTGAACTATGTTATGCCAATTGACCGACTTGTCCCGTGAGACTGTCTATGGCTGAGACATATTCTTGATGGGTAAATAAAGTAATGAACATTAGAATCACGGTCATCTTAATAGTAATTATTTTCCTTCGAAGGACATGAGAACTAGGTGTAATGGCAAGATTTACTGTTTTAGAAGTAAAGTGGCTAAAGCAGACAAGTTGTTTTAATTATCCCAGTTTAATTTCTCAGACTAGATCGCTTTAACATCATGACCAATTCATTTTCCCATGCATTTCCACACCGGCTGTGATATTTGAGTAACACAGTTGTGCCTGGAAACTATTTCCCTTGATCCCTCCTAGCCACTAACTACTTATACCATTAAAAAGAAGCTCATTACTACAGACTTAAACACATAAAATATCATACAGAATGAATGATAGTTTATTGTGAGTTTTCAGTGGAACAGTCACATCCTTTCCATAGTCTATCCTTCCCTAGGAAATGTCTCAAGGACAGTGGGCAGCCTTGTCATAAGTAGCTCACAGTGCATTTGAGGAGTTGGCTGTACAAACAAGCAGTCAAATCCAGTATGACAAAGGCTACAAGAGAGTCATCACCAAGGAGCTCTAACACCATAAAAGAAGCTTCTCATTGCTTTAGGGGGAGGAGCAGGGTTGAAGAAAGAGGGCATATTTAAATATGGTTTCCCAGATGTAATAAGACTCTTCGCTGTCTCATTTTACTATTCTAATCTGTGTTTGAGAAGCTCTGGTGGTGCAGTGGTTAAAGCATTTGGCTGCTAACCAAAAGGTCAGTGATTCAAACTGAGCAGTTGTTCTGTGGGAGAAAGATGAGGCGGTCTGCTTCCCTAAAGATTTATAGTCTTGGAAACCCTCTGAAGCAGTTCTACTCTTCCTAATGGGTCTCTATGAATCAGAAAAGACTCCATGGCAGTCTTTTTAATCTATGTTTATGCATTTAAAGAAATTTAATAGACATAGTATAAAATCATGCAGGTGCGTGTGTGTGTGTACATGTGTGTATAATCATGCATGGACATGGTAATTTTAAAGGCTAAAGAGCCCACATAATCTTTGGTTGCTCCCATCCAATCAGTTTCTATTTTACTATCTCTCTCTCTCAACTTTCCCCAACATTCTGGAATAAAGGATAAAAATAGTCTTGACCTGGAGGAGGTACGGGGGTGAGTGTACGCAGTGGGGAGAGGGAAGGAGGCACTACTGGGGGATAAACACAGCAGAGCAGCCCTAACTGGGGTGACGGTGAGCACCCTTCTCTGTATTTTATTGGACTACTGGATGACCAATGGGTTAAACAAAACCATCCTTTTCTGGTGCTTCTAATGCTTTGTCTTCTCTACCTTGGTTTCAATTTATAGAAACTTTTTATATATATTAGCCAAAACTTCTTCACTGAATTTTCCAGATCTGACCTAGAATTCCAAGAACTAAAAATAATACTAATGTTTCAGGCTCCGTTTGCTACCAGCTTGGCTCTGTCTGTGCCCCTCCTCCACCTAACTACAAAGATTCCCTAGCCTCAAAACTTTTCATCTGGCTTAGCCTGAAAAACTGTAAAACTTGCTTATTCCTTAAACATTCAGAAGTATGAGTGACCTTTTTAATTTTGTTCCCAGAAAGAAAACTGGTTTTGGTTTAGAAATCAAGCACATTTGCAGACCCAACTTAACCTTTACCAGCTTAGCCTTAACCCAAGTGGAGTGTGGAGTGATGCCTATTTTAGTTGAAACGTGACCACACCTTTAACTTAACAGGTAGGACTTCTGCACTGTCAGGTCTCACGGAAGGAAAGCTACAGAGTCTGAATCGGATCTTTGTTTCTAATGGTCTCCAACTCTGTGCTAAGTTGACCCAAACTCAAGCTCAGGTCAGGCTTCTTCTACTCCCTTAGCACATGTGGTAAATAATGAATTTACTAACAAAAATCCTTGTTTCTTTGTATTCTGTTTTCTGACTGTTTTCTTTAAAAAGCTGTAGTGTCACCTTCAGTTCTCCAACTTCAGACACCTAAAGATGACAACTGAGAAAGATAGGGACTTTGGTCCTATCAGTATTCCCCAGGTTCCAGGGCTAGCATGTCTTAGAATCCACACTAGTACAAGAAAAATGAACCCATAAATGGATATGGAGGCGGCGGACCTCTGCAGAACTGGAAAAACATCATAAATTGAATTTCCTGGGAAGAGTGTCAAACATTATTGCTGGAGAGTGTCATGGTTAGACTTCACAGAAGACAAACCAGATGCACTTTGGCCAGCAGAATTTTAAGAATTTTCTTTTTAATTTCAAAATATGCAAGTAAGTAAAAAAAAAATTGCAAATATCACATTCATTATAGAAATTCTTTACACCGAATTTGCCAACACTTGTTAGGAACCCTCCCCCTCCCCATACCACCACCATCACCACACACACACAAACATATACACTATCATCTGAGTGAGTAGAAGTCTTTACATTGCTTGTTGTTGTTGTTGTTAAGTGCCGTCGAGTCGTTTCTGACTCATAGCGACTCCATGCGCAGCAGAATGAAACACCGCCCGATCCCGCACCAGCCCCACAATCCCTGCTATACTTGAGCCCATCATTGCAGCCACCGTGTCAATCCATCTCGTTGAAGACCTCCCTCTCTTTCGTTGACCCTCCACACTACCAAGCATGACATCCTTCTCCAGGGAATGGTTCCTTCTTACAACATGACCAAAATAGGTGAGACAAAGTCTGGCCATTCTTGCTTCCAAGGAGCATTCTGGCTGCACTTCCTCCAGGACAGATCTGTTAGTTCTTTCAGCAGTCCATGGTACTTTCAGCATTCTTCGCCAGCACCACAACTCAAAAGCATCAACTCTTCTTCGGTCTTCCTTATTCATTGTCCAGCTCTCACATGCATACGAGGCGATTGGAAATATCATGGCTTGTGTTGGGCGCACCTTAGTCCTCAAGGAGATATACTTGCTCCTCAGCACTTGATACAGTTCCTTCACAGTTGACTTTCCTAATGCTACACATCGTCTAATGTCCTGACATTGCTTACCCCTCAATATACAAGTGCTGTTTACAGTGACCTGGACTTTGTCATCAGCATCCAGGTCTTCTCAGTTCATATGTTGTTCCATCCCTGATTCAACATCATGCAAAGGCTGGTTTCCTATGGTGTTTCCTAGCAACCTTAGATGCTGACACCTCAATAAACGGTATGCATGAGTGGTTCTCCTTCCCACTCTACAGTTGCAGTATCTATTTGTTCAGCTATTTGTCTAGTGATGATGCATCAATGATTTTACTCTTTATGCTCTAGCATTGCATTTCTAGTAAGGATAATTATGACTCCTAAAAGAAATTATGGATCCTAATGGAAATTCTTACCTAAGCCCTGGTATTTCAATCACCTTATACACATACAAAAGCTGGACAATGATTAAAGAAGAACTAAGAAGAACTGAAGGAACTCTGGTAGTGTAGTGCCTAAGGCACTTGACTACTAACCAGAGGGCTGACGGTTCAAACCCACCAGCCACTCCTCAGAAGGAAGGTTGGGCAATCTACTTCCATAGTGATACCACCTGGGAAACCCAAGGAGAGGTTGCTATGAGTCAGGTCCAACTTGAGGGCATATAACAACAACATCAACAAGAATTGATGCCTTTGAATTATGGCCTTGGCAAAGAATTTTGAATATACCATGGACTGCCAGAAGAACAAACCAATCTGTCTTGGAAGTACAGCCAAAATGGTCCTTAGAAGTGAGGATGGTGAGACTTCATCTCACGTACTTTGGACATGTTCTCAGGAGAGATCAGACCC